TAAAGCTGTTTCTGACATGCTCCTATTCTGTTTTTGTGGGGAGTGCTTTTTAAAAATGACCTTTAGAATTAACTCAGGATTTGTTTTCAGTATCTGAATAGATTTTCAACAAATCAGAAATTACGCTGAACTAGATTTCTGAAGTACATGCAGTTTTTCAAGTAGAAGTAATAAGATGAGAACTAAAGTACAGATATTCAGTTAGGCCTCTGCCTAAAATGAAATGAAATACTTGTATAATATACATTATGGAGTGTGTAAATGGACATTTGATTGACATAGGCTGGTGAAGTCTTGTAAAAGCCACCATTTGGGAGTCTAGGAAATTTGTATCTACATTTTTGCTTTCTGGTGCTGGGTTGGACCCAGGACCTCTTGTCAGGAAAGTGCTCTTCCACTGAGCTATACCTTCAGCCCAAAGTTCACATTTCTAACGCACTTATTATTTAGAGTGTACAGAGAAAGTAGTTTTTGTACATTCATTTTCTACTTGCTACAGAATTCTTTAAGACACAGATAATACATATTTTTAGTCTTGATGGTTTATGGGAATTGGAAGAGATGAGAATTGTTTCACAAGTATTTTGCTCAACAGTCTGCACAGTTCAAACTTCACTTGGAAGCATTTTACTGGGTTTCCATGAAATCAGTTATATTTCTGGAATTGTTTCCAGTTCTATATTTCTTGCTTACAATCTACAGACTTAGTGAAGCCATAGCTTGTTTATTATTTAAATATGTTTAAAAACAATTTCCCACAATAAAGTACTCTAGTAATAATATCTCAAAATTACCGAGTCTTCATGCCAGGCACTATGCTAAGTACTTTTCATGCATTACTACCTAATTTAATTAAATTATCAGTTGCAATGTGTCATTAACTACATTTTATAGTGCCACTAACTAGAATGCATTCATTTTGGCACATGGGAAAGTAGGATCTTGGAAAGTGTATGTTGCCTAGACTTTTTCTTTATCATAGTTCAATTATGAAAGTCTGATTTTAATTCTAAACATCTTTTTAATTATAGTATTTACTTTTTCAATTTTAAAAACATAAAAATAACTATTGTTTTAAAAGTACATTTACCATAATGCTTATATTTTAGTCCCATTTCCCTCTCCCCCATGTGTGTTCCCAGATTTTCCAAGTCTTGTCTAAAAGTGTTCAAGCATTTTTGGAACAGGGTTTACAATTTGAGCTATTAATTTGACACAAGTTATTCAGTTCTTTTGAAACTTGTTATGTCTCTAATTCTTGAAACCATCTTTATCAGTAAGTGACTAATTGTCTAGCTAACTAAATTCAAAGGTTCCAGAATTAAACAGAATGACTTCATTAGGTAAACTGCAAAGATGATACAGTTTGGCAGGCTAATTAGTAGCCTTCTCAGTGATGTGTATAAGATCTGCCCAAAGTACTTGAGTTTTGTTTTATTTCTGATAGTTGAAAGGGAGACTTTAATAATAATGCTCAAAAATTGTTTTGTGTTCATTTTAGAAATTATACACTTAATGATTAATTTTAGTTTTAAAACTAGTATAAAAATTATATTTTCAAATAACTTGAAATTAATAAATATTGAATAAGGGAATTTTTAAAACTATTAAAATATTGAGACATCCTATTTATGTAGTCAGAAGTGATAATAGAAACAGGACTCTTGATTTATGTTTTATGCAACCTTGCCTTCATATAATTTCATATACTTGCTTTTGAAAAAAATTTTTTTTCGTCTTTTTTGAGACAGGGTCTCCCAGTAGCCCCAGCTGGCCTGGAACTCACTATGTCCGCCTGCCTCTGCCTCTGCCTCTGCCTCCCAAGTGCTGGGACTACAGGCAAGCACCACCACACCCACCTCTGAAAATATTTTAAAGATAGCTTTTTAAAAAATATTTTATTTATTATTTTTATTTTATGTGTATGAGTGTTGTGCCTGCATGTAGCTAAATGTACCTGTGTTGTGCAATGCCCATGGAGGACAGAAGAGGCTGTTGGATCCCCTGGAACTGTAGTTATGGACAGTTGTTAGTTGCCATGTGGGTGCTGGGATTCAAACCCAGGTCTTCTGCAAGAACAGTCAGTGTTCTTAACTGCTGAGCCATCTCTCCAGCCCCAAAGATAGCTTTTTAAAACAATTTTCCCTTCAAAGTATTACAACAAACTAGAATTAATTTATTATTTCTGTAAAAATTATAACTAAGGTTTAATTATAAACCCATTATTATTCTTGTGAATACAGTCATTCTGCATATAGTTTTGACTAGGCCGTCCCTTATGCTCACTGTTGTGAGCAAAGAACACATGACTAGAAAACAGGCATGGTCTTGATTTCTTCAGTATTGTAGTCTGGGTAAGGAAACACTGTATATAAAGTGAATAGTACAGGATGCTGTAGAAAGACTGCAGGAGCATCTTGCCCTGGTTTGGTGGTGGTAGTAAAAGAAGTATGGGGTAGTACAGGAAGATTTATTTGAGGAAATGATCTTTGAGCTGACAATAAAGTAAATAAACCAAAGGGGGAGGAATGTTTCAGGCAGATGGAACCACATGTAGACAAGACCCTTAGGCAAACTACTTTTCAAGGTGTAGAGCCAATTTAGTGAAGCCAATTTAGTGAGTTGCAACTAGCTTTTAAAAAGATGAAATAGGGGCTAGAGAGATGGCTCAGTGGTTAAGAGTATGTAGTGCTCTTACAGAGAATCTGAGTTTAGTTCTCAGCATCCATATTGAATGGCTCACAATTGCCTGTAAGACCAGCTCCATGGAATCCAATGCCTCTAGTCTCCATGGGCACCTGCACTCACATGCACATGCCCACACACAGATAGACACATATACATAATTAAAAATTAAACAATACTTGAAATAAGATAGAATAAGAAAATGTATATCACATGAATCCTTAGAATATGTGTTTTATGAAATACAAATAAATTCATATACATGCCACACACAAACATAGCACACTCACTGCTTGTATTAGTCATGATTTAAAATTACTTGTTACTGTCTGTAAGTTATAGTTAACAAAAACTTTAGAAAATGAAAAGAAAGTGTGTGGCAGAAATTTGTGTCAAGATGACTCTACAGAGGCAGGTTGGAACTAGGTCTCATTTTGAACCTTTAGAGCATGACATCTTTTCCTTGTCCTTTGGAAAGATACTAATCAGAGAAGGGATATTAAGAGGCTTATGTTTTAGAGGTTCAGACATGTATGTAATGGCACAAAAATGGAAAGAGACAAATAATTAGAAAATTAGTATAGTAGCTGAGACAGAAAATGATGGTAATCCATTGTTGTGGTAGCCGTAGAAATAGCAGATTAGAGAACTGTAGTTAGAGACAAAAATCCATTATGTTAGGTGTGGTATGAGTAAATAATATCATTTTGTTTGTTTGTTTGTTTGTTTGTGTGTTTGTTTGAGACAGGATCTTCCTGTAGCCCCAGCTGACCTGGAACTCACTATGTAGACCAGGCTGGCCTTGAACTCACAGAGGTCCTCCTGCCTCTGCCTCCAGAGTGTTGGGATTAAAGGCATGTACCACTATGCCTGGCAAGCAAATAATATCTTATATATAATGAAGATACTATTATACTATTGCATGAAACTTTCTACTATGAATTTCATGTGGGTCCTTAGTTCTATCGTACTGAAAAAGTCCATATATTCATATTTGAAAAACTTTTTAATGATGTTTTGATGTTTGAGCTAATTTAATTCTGTTGTGCCCCCCTGTTTTTTTGGCTTTTAAAGACAGCCCCAATTGGCCTAGAATTTGCTATATAGACTAGATTAGCCTCTATCTCACAGAGATCTGCCTGCTTGTACCTCTCAAAAGGTGTGGGCCACCATGCCTGGCTATTGTTTCCTTTTTGATTTCAAGAAATACAAACAAAGTTAAGAATTTAAATTCTGGAAAGGTTAAATAAAGGTGAAGAAGAAACAAAGATTTTGAGTTCCAGTGGATCAGGATTAGATGTCTTAACAATAACAACAACAAAAATCCTTTTTTTATTTTGTGATCCTTTTTAATCTTCATACAAGCCTGTAAGTTAATTATATAGGTCATACATCTGGAAAATATTAGAGCCAAGATTAAAATCTGAGTTTTTCTTATACCAAACATTGCCTTTTTACTATATCGTCCTGAAATTACAAAAATATTACTCTGACAATCCTCCATTTGTTTAGTCAAGGTATGTGAGATTAGTGGACATTCTTAAAACTTGTTTTCAACAAAGTAATATTCTTCACAAGTCTTGATAAGCCAGATATGTGTGCATATGCATGTATATGAATTCTCAGAAAAATTACTGTAATTGAACTTAACATGTGCTGAATGGACAGACTTCTGTATCGTTGCCTCATTTCATTCTTAAAGTAATCTCTGGAGTAGGTGTCAGTATGTTTTCCATAAATGAGCCTCTTGCAGTGAAGAAATGATTTAACAGCTTGTAAGATGATATAGTAAGTAGTGGGGGAAGATTTTGAAAACATTTCTTTTCTTAAAATCTATTTCATCTTCAGTTTTGAAGATGATAGTGCAGAGGGAAAATACAAACTTCTACAAAGTGATGTTCAAAACAACTTTTATAGTTAAAAAAGAAAAATTTTGTGTCCCAAGAGGTAGCTCAGAGTTATTATGAGAACAGACTTTAGTATCAAGGCATATCGAGGTTTAAACTTTAGTTACTGAATGTAGTCACAAATTTAACCTCTAAATTTCAGATTCATCACTTTGTAAAATGAAAAGAATGGTAGTTTGGATATAACAGAGTGTTTGCATATCATACAGTTGTCAGAATTATTAACAGTAAAATGAAGGTGCTATTTTAGTAGTAGTATAGTGTTTATTTTTCTCTAAAAATCTACAGTTAGGATGCTGAGGTGGACTGTGGGCTATTTATAAAAACCTGGTATATAATGTTCCCTTGGCTAGTGTAGTTTTTTTTTTTTTTTTTCTCACTTTCTCTTTTGTTTCTTGTCCCCTTAAGGATTTCAGTTTTTCTGACTGTTAAATGAGAGGATGATTGCTCACAAGCAGAAAAAGGCAAAGAAAAAACGTGTTTGGGCATCAGGCCAGCTCTCTGCAGATACCACAACTTCTGAAATGGGGCTCAAGTCTGTAAGTTCCAGCTCCATTTTTGATCCGGATTACATCAAGGAGTTGGTGAATGATATCAGGAAGTTCTCCCATATGTTACTGTATTTGAAAGAAGCTATTCTTTCAGGTTTGTCAACTGTTTTCTCTTAGCATTCTTACTGATAGTTTGTGAAACTTTAAATGCCAGCCTCATTACAGATAAATATACACAGTGTAAGAACAGGGCATTCTGCTGTAGTTATTTTATGACTTTTCCCCCAAAGGTTCGACGTGTACAGTGTAAACCTTTTTTAAATCAGATAACGGTACAATGCATAATAAAAGCCTTGTTAAGTGTGAGGGAACAAGAGCACTAAAAGAAAAATCAAATTTTGGGTTTCTAGCAGTTGAGTCTATTTTACATTGGATAATTGAGAGCATTGGAGTTTTAACCTTCCTGGTAACAGTAATGCACTTACTGATCTGAAATAACTGACTAATGTTTATAACTTAAACCGTTGACACTTTTATCTCAATTCAGTGCTTCATGTTCTTGTAAGCATGTAGCCTAAAATGACTATGTTTGAACGAATTTTTTCTCAATAATTAACTTAATGGGAGCTTCAGATTTCTACTTTTTGAATTTTCTTTCAATTGCCATCACAATATTGTTCTTTTGAGATTATGTAAATATTATTAGAAAAGAAGTTGCTCACATTCCTGTTAATAGCTTGATTTTGAAGTCTAGCTGTGGATGATTGAATGGCAGCACCTTAAGCACATTATTAGAGCACATTTCTTACCAAAATGACATGTCTGCCAGTTACACAAAGAAGCATAGCCTCGTAATAAAGCTTTGTTCTTAACTAGACTACATTTAAATTGTTATTTTTAAATTTGTGTATAATATTCTTTTTGATGTATAGTCCCTTATTGGTGTATTTTAGAGGTAAAATTTTAACTGTAATATCAGGTAATAACTTGCTCATCTCAGTTTAGGGTAAAGTATAATTTAATATATTGATTTAAGTAAGTTTTAATTAATGTAAATAAGGTTTTTATCAGGCTTTCTGTTGGTGTTTATTTTCCTTAGGAGATTTATATTCTTTCAAGTCTACATCTTTCATAGTTGTCTTGTTTCACAGATTTAAAGTGACAATATTTTAAAACAAGACCACTTCTTATCTTTAAAAATACTTACGAGTTTTAATATATGAGTAGATGATTCAGAGAAAGTAGTAATAAGTGTAAGAAACAGAAGGAGACTATTCTTCAAGATAAAATGATGCAGATGGGAATATATTTATTCACCTAATTTAATTTTAAAAATAGGTATGAACATTATCCTTTTCATAAGAAATCCAGTACTTAAAATAATAGATTGTATCACTAGTAATTAAAAAAGCTTTTAAAATAAGTTTTTAAAATTGGAAAAACAGCATCTGGGGATTTGGCTCAGTGGATAAAGTACTTGCCTCACAAGTGTGGAAAACCAGGCTTGAATCTTTCGAACCCAAGTAAAAGGCAAGCAGACATGGTGGCTACCTGCAGCACTTTGGGAGGAAAAGACAGGGAATCACCTGGGGCAATCTGGCTAGCCGGACTAACTGGAATTGGTGGGCTCTGGGTTCAGTGAGAGACCTTTCTTTCCTCAGCAGATAAAGTGGAAGAGTGATCGAGAAAGACACCTGAGGTCAACTGCAGACCTCTATCACACACCTGCACACACACACACACACACACACACATACACACTCATATATATATATATATATATATATATAATAAAATTAAAAGAAATGCACACATAAACACAAGAGGCAATGTCAGAGAATGCTGAGTTATATATATATATATACACCACATAGACATTGGCAAAAAAATTGAAGAACAATTTAAAATTTTTTTATTTATGTGTATGTATGTGCATTTGTCTGTGTGCCACGTGTGTGTATGTGCCTGTGGAGGCCAGAAGAGGCACTGGAGATGGTACATTGCTCTGATTATTGATAATTTGAAGGTAAAGACAGCTAAAAGAATTTGTCTTCAGGTTTTCTGATGAATTTTACAGGAAATCTCTTCCCAAGATTTTAGGATTTTTTTGTGAGTTTTATGATAAATTTGGTATTTATTAAAGTTTCTTAAGAAGAATTCAAGATCATTTTAGTGGGTGAGGAATTGATTAGAAGAAATAAGTGTCTGTTAAAGTGCTCTGTGATCCTAAAAGGTTTAAGACATGGATATAGTTTCTCTGTGTTGCTCTGTCAATGCACACATGAAAACGGAGTCCTTCGTGTGAAACAGCCAAGGACTGAAAACTTACTTTACCTAAGAAAAGTTTAGCAATTCTCCTTCCTCCCCTTATCTCCAAGATGAGGTTCCCCTGTAGTCTTACACAAGTAGCACATGTGAAGTTTTAAGTGAGATCTCTATCCAGTGTCATTAAGGTACATTATGAATAATTATAGGGATGAATTGTACATCTTCTATTAAAATACTGAAGGTACTCGCTTATGCATATGTACTTTGTGCTTAATTATGGAGTTTTATGTGTTTAACTCTAGATTAACATATGTGCAATGTAAGTCCTAATTTGTGTTTATGGTTGCCCCCCCAAGGAATAATGTATTCGGCATTCTAAATAACAGATTCACAAATGGTCTTCTAGCTTACACAGTAATTTTCAATTTCATCGTTGTAGCATACTTTCCCATTCCCAGGTGGAACATCATTCAAGGAAGCTCAGAATCTAAGAGTTTGAAAAGTAGACTATAGTTAGGCTAGCCTTCTAGTGCAAACTAAAGTTTTTTTCTGCTACTTCATGCTTGGAAGTGTAGACTGACATTACAAAATATGTTGGAGGGAACAGTAAGTCAATGGTACTTGTAAGTTTTTCCTTTTGCTTATGTAATACTATTTTAAGTGGATTTTAATCAGGGCTTCCTATTGTAGCTATGATGTCTTGTTTTTCTAGAGGTTTTTGTTTGTTTGAAACAGTATCTCACTACATAACCCAGGTTGACTTTGAACTGTAATTCTATTGCCTGAGCCTCAGAGACTGGAAAGTTCAAGCATGTGTACACTCCCCTCCCCTTCCTTTTTGTTTGTTTTTTAAATAGACTAGGAAGGGAACTTAAAATATATTAATGAGATTCCAATAAACTAGTTAAACTCTCATTTTAAAATACACGCTCAAACTTAAAAATGTGTTTTATTTTATAAAACTGTAATTCTTAAAAATGACAGCTTTTGCTGGACATGGCGGCACAGGCCTTTAATATATACTGATATATTTAGTGGACGTTAAAGACTGCTAAATTGTGTATTGCACAGTATCTATCATTGATCTATAATTTCTTTACATGTGACAGTATATCACAGTGATTCAGAGCACAGCTTTTAAGTGGGTTATGGTAGCACATGTCTGCAATCCCAGGACTTGAGAAGCTGAGGCAGGAGGTTTGCAAGTTCAGAGCCAACTTGAGTTGTGTATGTAGCCCCAACAAAATAAACACAGATTTTTAGAACCAGAATTCCTGAGGTAGAATCCTCACTCTGCTGCTTGCAATTTATCTATAATCCTGAGCAAGTAATTTCTGTTCTTTATGCCTCCATTTCTACATCTGTTAAAAGGAGGTCATAGTACCTGTGTCACTGGATTTTTGTTGGGATTAAATGAGTTCTGTGTAAAGTTATCAGGGTAAGTGCTTTAAAATGTCAGCTGTTACTATTTTTATAGTTCCCAGGTAGCTAGTTAAAGAAAGCTGCTGTTCCTCAGGGTTCACTTTTTTCCTGTAAATTCATATGTCATTACAGCAAAAAATAGAAATTTGCTCTAGATAAGTTCTGATACTTTTTTCCTTTCTGTTGTTTTCACTGCTCTCCCTAGAGAGGTCAAGCTGAATTAACAAGACTGATAAAAACATTTTTGTCAGTTTTTCTTTTCTTTTTTTTTTTCAATCAAGGAAAACATCATTTTTTTTTTCATCTGTTTACTTAAGCGGTTCCATGAAGTGTTTGCAATGTAAACACTGTGGTATTGTGTTACTGCATGAGAACCAAAAAGTAGAGCTGGCTAATCTGTTTTCACTTGATAAGTTTAATGTAGCAGAAAATAAATGGCACAAATGGATGAAACAATAAATTAAAAATCAGATTACCATATTACAAGGGTAAACAAACAAATACTGGGATGCTGTTTTGCTATTCTAGATAACTAGTGTTAAGACTTGGTTGACTTTATTATGTTCACATCTATAATGCCTGTAGTATAAATCAAACAGCAGGCATTACATTTATAATGGGACTGCCATGATGCTTAAAAATTGCCTTGTATTTAGTTATAGGACTCAGTTATAGTAAATATAAGTTGAGAAGTACAGAAATATTTTTATGGGGGCTAGAGAGATGCATCAACAGTTAAGAGCACTGACTGCTCTTGTAGAGGATCCCAGGTTCAGTTCCCAGCATCAGCATGGCAGGTAACAACCATCTAAAACTCAAGTTCCAGAGGATTGGATGCCCTCTTCTAACCATAACAGCCATTGTATGATGCAGGTGCACTTACATACATGCAGGTAATATACTCACACACATAAAATAAAAATAATACTAAATAAAATATTATAAAATATTCTATGCAATACATTCTTATAATTTAGCTTCCAAGTTTACTTACTAATCTTGATTTTATATAGGATGAAATTGAAGCTTCATTGGTTTTTTTGGTTTTTTTTTCCATTAATCAAAATATTGTGGGACCAGACTATAAGCATGTTTGTCACTGAATATAATTCTATGTGAAGCATATGTTTTCAAAGGCATTTAGTTTGAACAACTCAAATATTTACTAGTAAGAATCATTATTTGTAGCCGGGCATGGTGGTACACACCTTTAGGACCACCCCCCCACCCCCACCTCTGGCGCTCCAGTGGCAGAGGCAGGTGGATCTCTGTGAGTTCAAAGTCAGCCTGGTCTACATAGCAAGTTCTAGGCCAGCTGGGGCTACAGGGAGACCCTGGCTCAAAAAGACAAAAAAAAAAAAAAAAAAAACATTATTTTGTTAAATTAAAAAGAGAACACCATAGAGAAAACTTGAAATTCTTTGACTCTGAAACTGGTC